CACATTGTGGTTCAGATTTTGTTTAACTTCAGCAGAGGTTGCTTTACAAATTCTTACTTGTTCAGAAAAAAAATTCAACTGAACTTATTTATCATCCAAGAGTTTTCATTATTGTTATTTAGAAAGAAAGTTCTTGTTCAAGATCTTTTCTACTAAACCTGAGTTAGACAAGGTTTTTATGTGGGTATAAACTCTTCAAATGTTTCACAGTAATATCAAGAGGTTAACAGGTGTTTTAGAAATATTTTGAAAAGTTTTATACTGTTCCATTGGTTGTATTTAATCCCTCTAAGCTACAGTACTGTGAATCAAGGTTTCTCTCAGATGCTGTGTCAGTGTGTAACTCAGTTTTATAATCCCATCCCTGAAAATAAATATTTAACTTACCTGTACTGTTGCAGATAAGCTGGTCATGCTTACATTTGCAAAGGATTGCTCTTCTGTTTTCCACACAAAATAAAACTTATTATGTATTAATTTTTCATAGAATTATTCGGGGGAAAAAAAGCAGAAAAGCAGCTTCTCTATGTGTTTTAGTTCATTGGTAACTGAATATGGGTTTTTAGAATTCACATAATAATGGTGGTGAATTATTAGCCATCTCAAAGGTGAAAAGGGAGGAGTTTTCGTATTTCCACTGACATGATGTGGTGGTGCATTTTTTGAGCGACCTTAAAACACTTGTTTCGAGACAGATGGTTACTGGATTTAATACTGTGCTTAATAAAATATGCAAGGATTCTATTACATCAGAGTGATTGAACAGTGAAGCCATTAAAACTTCCATGGAAGCTTCAAAGGAGGACTGAACACAGACACTGCTCGAACTTCATAATACCACTAAAGGGAAAAAGAGAAGTTTTGTACTGTGTCAAGAGTTGCAGATCACTGAAGCAAAAGGACAACCTTCTGCAAACCCACAGGACTAATGGTGAGTCCAACTAACTGTGGCAGAGTCATGGTGTGCAGTGCAGCCCCTAAGTGATCATCCAAAAGTTATGCAGCCTGTAGCCTCAGGCCAGAAGGAGAAGGGAGAACCAGCATGGAGTGAACCTGGAGCTACCACTGCTTTTGCAGGAAAAGTGGAAGTTACTACTAAATTGTTACTACTACAGTTGGCAGCAGGGTACAACACAATTCTCCCTCTGTAAAGATGGTACCTGAGCAAACCAGTACCCAAACAGAGAGCAAGCGGAAAGATTTACATACCCACCGAGTTATAATTATTTGACGTTAGCATGTCAAAATCCCAAGAGCAAATTAGGTTCTTTTTTTCTTTACCAAGCTCCAAAGAAAAAAAAATGGTGACTCTCCCATTCTAAGTATGGCAGAGGAGGCACAGAGTAAGAGTGTTTTAATTGCCAGTTTTCAAGCACTGTCCAAATAAACTGTTCTGGTACTAAGCTGTGACCGATATGCCTTCATTTGATATGGCTTAAGATAAATTTGTGGCACTTTTCTTACATCTCTCCATTTTCACGACTGTTGTGTTAAAAATAGGGGGAGGGAGCAGGGAGAGGGATTAATTAAAAATCGTAATAAAAATAACCTTAAAAAATGCATCCTTGACTAAATACTGTCCAATCAATATTCATTTTGCCGGATTTCTATATGACTGCCCATGAACTAGAGAATTGTTTAGGAAGCTATTAAAAAACTTTGTTAATTTACTCTTTGACATGTATGGCTTTTCTTTAAAAAAAATAAAAACAAAATAAAAACAAACAAAAAAAAAAGCCCAACATTAAAATCCCAAACATCATCACTAATATCTTTCTTTGTTTGGGGCTTTTTAGCTTTTCTTTGGGTAGGGGGATTTGTTATTGTTGTTGCTGCTGGGAGGTGTCTGATCACAAATAAAGCAGTAATAAAGCAAAGTGAGTACCATTTCAGCTTCAGAAAGAGCTTTACATCTGATGCTGTGAGAAGATCCTTCTGTTTCTGTATTTTATTTCTACAGTGATATATGAGAGCTTTGGTAATTCTGGTAGCTCTCTCAGATACATAGAACTTTCAATATCAACACATTAACAAAAAACTGGAGCATCTGACAAGCGTGGAAGAAATTCAGTTCCATCTGAAAAATTCTGGGTGGGAACAGTGGGTAGAGGGCAGCAGCTCCTCCTTTACAAGGACCCTCTGCTCCAGGGTCCCATAGGCACCATATTTGTCCCCCTTTCATTCAGTACTGATGCTGTTGTGATTGATGGGGGGTTGGCTACGCTGTTGTCAGGATGTTAATGCTGAACTCTGCATGTCTATTTTAGCAGATCCAGACACACCAAAGCCCTTATCCTCCCAGCATCCACAAGGAACTGATAGAATGAAGCTGACCAGTTGTCACACAGGATAATATGGCAATGATACTGAGTGGCACACAGGAGTGAGAACATATAACCTTTCCTTTAGGTACAGATGACTCCATTTCTCCTATCAAAATTATTCACAATTAAAAAAAAAAATACAAATTATTAATCTTCTCTGTGGTGCAGAGAGCTGTTAACAGCTCTACACTTTGGATATATATCAAATTATAGCTTTTCTCTCTCATGATGATTTCATGAGCTTTGAATTGCCTCTGATCATTAACTAGAAATGCACTTAACCTGAGATTAATCTTGAAAGACAGGAAATGAAAGGTAATTCTGTGCAGGCCTTCCAAGACATGAATTAATCCCAGTCTTTGACACAAAATGGTTTTATATGGTGAAATAACAAATGATCTATCCATATCTCCCTGTGAAGTCCCACGTCTGTAGTGTTTACCCTAAGAAATCTAGGGAGAAGAAATGCTTATCCATGCTCATCACTGACTTTCTCTACTTCACCCTGGAATAAAGCTAGTGCTTCAGTTCCATTCCATTTCAAAACATGGTCACCCCTGTACATGCGTTCCTTAACAAAATATTCTTTTTCATTAGAAAGATATAGAAGAATCCAGGTTATGAAGTGACTGCAGATCTTTTACAGGAGGAAAAGCAAAACACCAGTTATTGTTTATAAACCTGTAAATGGTCTATGGTCAAGTAACACTGGAAATTCTCTCTCCCTCTCTAACCATAAAAAGGAAGAAATTACAGCCTCTGAAGAAACAAGACAGAGCAAAGAGTTGCCATTCATCTGAGTAACCAGCATGCATAGTCTTCTGTGGTGTCTTCAGGTATCATGTATGGTTTTGACTTGAAACTGCTGCTCATCACAAGGTGGCCAGATTATATTCTCTTTTTGTTTCACCATATATTTACATTCAAATCCTCTTGTGATATAAAACACTTTTGTGACTTTTACAGTATGCCTGCAGTGCTTTAATAGTTTTGAACTGCTTAAAAGAGTTATAAAACGAAGATACTTACCACCTTGCTGCAGTATCTTGTACTATTCACATTTGCTCAGCAGTAAGAAAAGCAAGTTGGACTTCTGCTTCAATAAGAACAGTAAGCTGGACTTCAAATTATTTCCCTCAAGCAGAGGCTCACAGAAATAGCACACCCACATCATTTTAAAGGGATGTTTAGGACATTTTACCTTTTGTTAGGTGTTGCAGACGTTTTCCTTTTAACTATCGACACACTGCAGCGACCTGATTTGGGAGGAATTTATCCCTGGGGAAGCTTAAATCACACTGTCCTGGTCCCAAGGTCCGAGCAGAGCTGGAAGGAAAGTGCCCACAGCTCTGCAGGACCCTGTCCTCCCTGCCCCTCTTCAGCCCTCCTCCCGCTTTACCAGAGGTCACTTCAGGGGTCACTCACCTCCCTATCCCACTGCTCCTGCCGCCTCAGTCCCCGGAGGAAAGCGGGGAGCGGGTCCCCGTTTCCCTGAGGTATCCGAAGGGGAGAACCACTCCAGGGGGTGTCCCCAGGCCGCTGCGCCGCCAGCGCGCGTCAGAAGGATGCACTGAGGTGTATTCGTCCCCCCAGAATTTCTAGATGCTTTTCCCCAGGGGCTGAGCACTGCCGAGGTGCAGCGGGCTCTGCCCGAGCTGTGGATCCGACCTGTTGCTTTGCTTTTCACACGCAGAGCCGCCCGCTCATAGGATTACCGCGGTAATCCGAGACGTGTGAAAGGAGAGAGACGCGTTTCCCCTTTCAACCGCTTTCAAAGCCCCGCGATGAGCTGAGAGCCGCCGGCCTCAACCTGAGGGCCAGACCTGCTGGTTGCGGACATCCCCGAGGGGGCGGCCCGGGGGAGACAGGAGCGCCGCCTGCAAGGGGATACCCCTCTCCTGCGTGTAACGCGTTAGGTATGATTTTAACCGTGGCGTCTCTCTCCTCGCCAAAAGCCAAAACTCAGGGAGGGCTCCGGGGGCTGCAAAACCTGGGGGAGACCAGGGATGCCCCGTGGCACCACATCACCTGTTCTTGCAGGGCTCACTCCGGAACGGATCCGTAGGTAGGTCCCAGCGCCCATGGGACACCCTGCGCTTCTCCCCGGACAGCGCCGCGCCGCCGTCCTCTGGCCCTACCCCGAAAGGAAGAACCGCCCGGCCCCCAGCCCGGGAAAGGACCCTGAGCATGAGGTGAGCTGCGGGCACAGCGCTGCGCTAGCAGCGGGAGGTGAGCGGGCCCGCCTGCCCTTCCCGGAGGGTAGCACCCGTCTCCCATGCCTGGCTCTGTTACCCCGGGAGCCATATAATCCCAGACACCCCCTCCCGCTGCTCCTCAACCGCCCACCGACGGGCGGGCTTTGTTTTCAAGGCTCGGCTTGGCAGAGTCTGCTGAGCAGCTAATAACATAACAACTCGGCTTTGATCAATCCGAACTAATTACCCCTCTTAATTAAAGTCTTTAGCGGTTGTTTCAGTGTTTTGGCAAGGACGCGGGAGAGCTTTACCGTGCGGCAGCGCCAACGCCGCGGTCCCCGCCCGCCCGGCCGCACCGCAGCCCCCGCCGCCGCAGTCACTCCTCGGCAAAGGTTTATTTCCACCAGGTCAACGAATTCTTTTTTTTTTTTTTTCCCTCCACTTGCAAGAATCAATCCGATATTCAAATCCGTACATAGAGAACAGTTCTGTCCATATAGATACTATATTCAGGGGGAAGAGGAAGAGGACGAAACCAAGAAGGGTGGGATAACCAGCAGGCAGCAGAGGCAGGACAAGATCAACACAGAGGGGATATATATACATCGAAATAATTAAAGTGGTTCAGCGTTCCCCGCTAGGGTAATACAGATCCCAAATAAATACAGCAGAAATTGGCTTGGCGCTTTTTCTTTTTTTTTTTTAAACCATCTCTCCCCCTGAGATGCAACAACAACAAAAAAAAAATCGAGTCTTTAAAGAACAAACGAAAAAAATAAAAAAAAAAAAAACAACAATCAGTCCCATAAACGTTAGTGGCGATATAGAGCATAATACACAAAACCGCTTAACAGGTGCATGCAAAGAGGCTGTGGGGGCTCGCACGGGCGGCCGCCCCTCAGGGCTGGAGCGGCGGCGGGCCCTGCAGCAGCGGCCCGGGCGGGGGCGGTGGGTCGGGCCCCCCCAGCTCGGCGGGGGGCCGGGGCAGTCCCAGGGCGCTGTCGTGCAGCTTGCGGACGTGCTTCTTGAGGTCAAAGTTCCTGCAGAAGCCTTTGCCGCAGGTGGGGCAGGTGAAGGGCTTCTTGTCGTTGTGGGTATGCATGTGGAAGGTCAGGTTGTACACCTGGTGGAAAGCCTTGTTGCAGATATTGCACTTGAACTGCTTCTCCCCGCTGTGAGTCAGCTTGTGGTTTTTGTAATTGCCTGGGAACGAGACAAGAAGGGCAAAGGGATCTGGGTTTGCGAGATCGACGCTGCAAAAAGGAGAAAAATATAAAAATCCCTAAACCCTGTCTTGTGATCAGAGCTCGGCTTTAGGCTTAAACGACCGCCGATCTCTCAGCAAACGCCCACCTTCTCATCATCATCCCCGCGGCTGTTCCTCTGACAGACGACAAGGGAACGATCGAAAAAACCAAAATCACGACAGTTGCAGAAATAAAACGCCTGGATTTAGCCTTCCCAGCAACGCGAGGGGTGGGGGGGAAATAACTAAATTCTTGCATTTGGAGGCGAAAAAAATCAGCGAACTTATTTGCCGAACCGCGCTGGAAGCTGCGTGTTGCGGTGCGGGGAGAAGGGGCTCTTCCCGCGGAATGACTGTCCCGCGCTCCCCCCGGAACGAGACCTCTGCCCCGCTCCGTGGGCTAGGCCAAAGGAGATATGTCGGGGCTAGCGATACTTAAAATTAACCTAAATATCTAATAACAAATATTTAAAACAAAATTAACTCCCCACCAGCCTTCCTGTCGCGAATTGTCCCGACACTTGACCTCGACTGGGGAGAGGGAACCGGGGCAAGAGAGAGGGCGCTGGAGACTGGTACCTTTCTGGTGAAATCCTTTGCCACAAAATTCACAGACAAATGGTTTGTACCCGGCGTGTATTCGAGTGTGCGTGTTCAGCGTCGAGCTCCTGTTAAAGGCTTTGCCGCACTGGTTGCACTTGTGTGGCTTTTCCTGGAGAGAAACAAACACCAAGTCACGGCTTGTTGGCTGTTTTGCGAGGTCTGTCTTCTGGTTGCCGGGGTCTGTGTGCTGTTTTGCGTGGTTTATGAGCTGGTTTGTGGGGTGTATGTGTTAACTGACGGCTCGCAGCTGCCGGTGCGGGACACCCGGAGGTACCTACCGCGCTTGGGGCAAAGGAAATCCCCCCGCGGCTCTGGATCGGCAGCCCCACACCGCACGTCGGTGTCTCAGAGCAGTCGGACATCGCCGAGAAACCCGAAAAAACGTGAGTGGAGGGTCTTGGGGAGAGAGGAAGGGACGGAGGGGGCGCTCACCTGGGTGTGGATGATCTTGTGCCGGCAAAGCGTGCTCGCCTGTCTAAAACCCTTCCCGCAAACTTTGCAAACAAAGGGTCTGGCTCCCGTGTGCACTGGCATATGGCGCGTTAAGTTATAATGTGCATTAAATACCTGTAAAGAGGAATCAGACAAAAATAATTAAATGAAATTGCTATTAGAAGATGAGAGTGATGAGGGGAAGCCGTCGTTTAAAAATCAAGCGAGGGACTGACAACCGGCGGACAGACGAACGGGGACAGGAGGCCGAGGAAGGGAAAGGGGCTGCGGCGCTACTTGCCTTTCCACAAACTTCACACGTGAAAACTTTGGGCTTGCTGCTGGGAGAGCCGCGGCTGATCTCAGAGGTTTTATAGGAGATTTTTTCTGAGAGGATCTGAGCACTTTCTTTCATGTAGTGCTGCAACTGAACCTGCGATAAGTCCTTGAAGGCCACCCCCGCCGGGTACTTGTCCACGGTCGGCAGCACCAGCTTGTTCCGCTCCGCCAGGTAAGCCTTGGACTGCGGGTGCAAGGGAGAGCTGAGGAAATAAGAAGCCACCGGGTGGATGTTGACACTGGAGGACGGGTGACAGGGGCTGTCGCCTCGGTTGAAATAGCACAGGGCTCCCATGGCGTGGAAGGAGGAGTGATTGACCACTCGGGGTCTTACCAGTTTGTACTGCTGCAAGGGCAGGGCATCGCGGGGGAAATCTCCTTTCAAGCTCAGGGCACAGTTCAAGAGATCGCCGCAGCTAAAGGAGGGTGAGGAAGAGGAGTCTAAGTGAGCCTTCCTGGGTTCCGCTCCGGCCACCGCCGCTTTGGGCAAGGTGTCGTACGCCACCGGGACAAATGGGATCATGCAGGGGATGGAAGAGTTGAGATGCAGCGGGTGCTTGGGGTCGCCTTTGGCCACGGAGCCATGGAGGAGCTGCGGGACGGGGATGGAGCGGGGCTCTGGAGTCCGCGCCATGATGCGCTCAATGGAGAAGGCGAGGGGCTTGGGCGTGCTGATCATGTTGCTCCTGGCAGACAGGCTTTCTCTGGCTGGAGGAGTCGCTAGGGTTTTGGTCGCCGTGTGGTGGCCACTATTGTCCATGGCTGAATTGCATTTGTTCGCCCGGTTTGTGCCGCTCTGGTAGACGCCTCTTTTTTTTTTTTTTTTTTTTTTTCCCTCCTCTCCCCTCTCTCTCTCTTTCACTTTCTCTGCCCCTTTTCTTGTTACTGATCTGCGAGGAGGGAGATCAGCATCATCGCCGCCACCATCACCACAGTCTCCGCCGGCGGAACCAGCCTTCTCAGTCCAGTGGACTCATGCCAGCCCATCACAGTTTACTTTGGCGCACCAATGACTCGGGACAATCGCTACTTATTTCTATCAATAGAAAGTGTTGTGTCAATAACGCAGCCAAGATCTCGCCAATCGTTAACTTCCAAGAGGAGAAGGTAAACTAGATAATTGCTCAATTCGCTTCCAACAGTCAACAGGAAAAGTTTTCCCCCCCCCCCAGCAAGTGGCTACTTTTCATTGGCGCCCGCGCCTGCCCCGCCCAGGGAAGGAGGTGGCTTTCCCTCCTCTCCGCTCTCCCCTCTGCCTCCCTCCCTCTCTCTTTTTATTATTATTATTTGCAATCTGCTTAACCAAGCTTTAGAGGCCAAGCAAATCCGAGATCAATTTTCTTGTTTGGCTTTAAGTGACATCATCTAAAATCATTGTCCAAGAACTAAATAGGGATGTGAAACCCAATTCAAGGGCAAGCACCAGGGTATTTGTCAAACGAGGTGCTGCAGAAGAAGCGGCTGGAGGGGAAGCTGTTTATTTCCTTGCTACTTTCCAGCCCGAGCTCTCTTTGTGCGTGCGTACGTGTGTGTGTCCGAGGGAGGGAGGGAGATGGCTGCTCTGCTCCTGAGACTGCTCCTGGTCTGCTCACTGCTTTAAAGAACAAGGTCAGATGGTGTCGAGCTTTTGGAAAACACGGTAGACAATTAAGCGGGGGACTTGCGGCAAGCAGACGGCCAGAGCAGCGCGAGGGGAGGCAGGCACCTCCCGGGCCAAATAGAATGAGTGCTTGAGAGCAAAAGGATGACTCAAAACCTGGGGCAGGGGAAAAGAAGAAAAAAGAGGTAGGGAGTGCTTTTTAAATCTGAACCACTACTTATATATTTTAACATACATATATATATATGTAACCTGCATATACACTAAGTTTGGTTTCTCTGTCCTTATATGATACATGCACAACACAAATACCGAAAACTCAGAGCCGGTATAGATACACGAAGGAAAATACAGGCTCCACACTGTTTATAGGTATATATGCACCTAAACAGATGCGATGCCCATGTATTTAAGAGAACCTTGACGGCCCTGTTCGGGGCGGGCAGCTCCAGCGGCTGTTCGTACTTACAGCGAAGCGGGGGTGGTCGGGGAGATGAGAGGGGCAGCAGTGGGTATGGGGTTTTCTGTGTTCCCGCCCATCCCACCAGTCGACAATTCGGGCTCAGGACAAGATCTCGTTTTCCCTCCGGCCTGGGGTTCACTTGGCTACTCACTGAGAGGCTGCTACCGAAGTAACCCCAGGGAGAAGCCAAGGGTCCCTCTGTTCTTTCCACCTCCCGCAGAGAGCGGCTGGGCCGCTTCCCCCAGCGGAGGGACCCATGGGGGAGCCTTCCCTCCAGATGTCCAGCGCTGCCTTTCTCCGGGACCGAGGGAGAGAAGCTAATGGAGAGAAGCCTCCAGCGAGGCAAGGGAGGCGCGGCCCCCGCTGCTCTGGTACCAGCCGAAGAACCCGAAAAAGGCTGTGTCTCCCCATCACCTCTCGGCCCAGGACAACCAACTTGAGAGAAAGTGAGAGCAGGGATGAAGGGCTGGGGGCCTGGGGAGGGAAGCAGGAATGGAGGGACGGAAGGAGGGATGAAGGGAGGCATCCTCGCCCTCGGCGGTTGGACCTGGCCGACGCCGCCCCGGGCCACAGCGACTCCGTTTGCGGAGGGCAAGGCTGTTCCACGACGGTACCTCCGTGGCCGGGAGCTCCGTGCCAGCGAGCTCCGTGCCAGCAACGGGGAGCTGCGGGGGACGGAGGAAGAGAATATCCTGCTGTCTCCGGGACGGACGTCGAACGATGGGCCGTGACCCGTGCACCCCTCGCTGCAGAGGATGTGCCTCGCACGCCCTGCAACCTCCGTGTCTGCCCCCTCCCGCCGGAGCCGGCGCTGGCCTCGGAACCTGCCGGGGAGGACACAGCCGTGCGGGCAAGAGTGGGACGAAGGAAGGGTGGAATCCGTGCTGGGCCCTGAGGGGTCTCCAGCTGTGATGCCCCGCTCCAGCCCTGCTCCCTGTTTCCCTCCGGTCTGGATGTGGGGCCGTTGACCGGGGCTGCGCCGCTGACCTCCCCTCCCTCCCCCCCAGTCCCCCACGGCACATGAGTCAGAGCGTTAAGACTGTAATTGGTGACCCTGATCGGGCTGCCGCACCCGCCTGCCTCTTACCTGCTGCTTCCTGCACTGGCACCACCAGCCCCGGCTCGGCCGGTGTCACCGACCTGAGGGAGAAGGAGGCAGCAGTGACCCGCGGGGGAGGGGGGAGGTGGGACGGGGGCCGGAGCCGTGTTCCCCTGCTTCTCCGGTGTGTCGGTGTCTCTCGCGTATTTTGTGTCCGCCAGAAGAGAGTTGCCTCCTTCAGAGCAATTTACATTTAATTCAATCTAGGCAAATTTCCTCTTGATTGGTGCTGAAGAAGGGAATTATTGTTGAGTGGGTTTTAGAGGCTTCAAATCCCATATACTTAATATGTTAACAGCTTGCTCTTAACTGGTCTTTTTGGGATTGACTTTTTGACACGTGTTTGAAAGTAAAATATGTAGTGTCATTTGAGCAGGGTAAATATCCCAAAGCCGCAATTACAGCCCTGCCATTGCAATTATCCTCCATACTGAGATACACTCTTGGAGAAACGGGAGCTTTATTATTCGTTAGTTCCCTTCGGATACGTCTTACTTTCTTTTTGTACTGTGCAGGAAAACTTACATTAGTGCCTAATTATTCAATAGCGATCTAAAAGCAACGTTTTAAAAATTTTTTTGGGGGGAAAAGTCATCCCGTTCCGTCTCAGAGATGGAGCCTCGTTAATTCTGGAGTTGCCCGCAGTATAGGTAGAGTCACTAAAATCACTGTCGATTTTTTTCAGCCCTGTCCCGAGCTTTGCCTTGCTCTCGGACCTCATCTTTTTAGCGATTTTGCATATCTGCTGAGCTGCAAATGTCCTGCAGTCGTGCTAGTGCAGGTTTGTTTTGCTAGAGGCAGAAAGATTTACAGGCTCTGAAGGTAGCAATAAGAAACTTTTTGGCCGGTTTCTTTTGGCAGGTTCACGACGGGCCCGGGGCTTCCCTCCAGTCTGGCGGCACTTATCGAGTCCCGGCAGAAGGGGCCGACGGGGGAAGGAGCGGGCCTGCCGGCCTCCCAGTGTTACGAACCGTCGGAGGAATTAAGGGCAAAAGTTTTGCCTCGAGTTGATTTCGTGCTCTGCCCGGGAAAGCTGCTGTTCTCTTTTTCCCCGTAATCAGCTTTGTGTTTCATTCGCTCCTAAGCTATGTTCTTGATATTGCTCACTTGCATTATTATCATAACGTATCTCTACATGCATTCAAAATCCGAGTCACTGGCGAATTCATCTCGTCGTCAGGATTACTCCAATCCGATCCCAGAAGCGATTAGAGGGAGGTAAAATACCGCCTAAAGCCTAATCTTTAATTTCTTCCCCCTTAATAAAATGAATAATTCCATTGCGTTTTTAAGTAAAAAATGAATTGAAAGGGATAATAACTCCGCTAACCTTCTGTTGCGTGTATTAATATTTTCGTGGGAGTGTTTTACCATAACGCTCTTGCCCGAGCGGGCTGCTCCCTCTGCGCACCCGAAGCCGGCTCTCCCCGGCCGGGGAAGGGCAGGGAGGGCAAGCGACCCGCCTGGCTCCGAGGCGTCTCCGGGCAACCCAAGTGTGCAAGGTAACCCGGGAGGTTACAGAGCATCCTTCTGGCCGCGACACCAACGGACCTGACAGCGCCTGGCCAGACCTTGATTGCTGTTATTATTGTTCTAATAGTCGTCATTAATAGTGTCACCACCGGGATTCGCTGTTAAAGCTCGGGTTTCCTCTCTATACGCATCAGTCCGAGCCGTCCCCTTCCCAGCCGCCGAATTTGTGAAGAGGCGATTTATCCCAACACGGAACACCAGCGCCGTCCTCCCTCAGCCCCGCCGCCGCCGTGCCCTGCCCGCGGATCCGTGTCCCCCCGCCCGTCCGCCCGCAGACCCGCCGCGGCTCAGCACGCTGGCCCCGGCTTGTTACAATTGGGAATTAGCTCCCGGCTGCTGCGGGGCTGAAGGGCTCGCTGTTTATTCCCACTCAGGGCTTGCTGTTTACTGTCTTTTGAAGGGAAGTCAAAACATAAACGGGGGAGTTAAAGCGAGGAGAAGCACACCCCAGTGGGTCATCCGCCGTCACCGTTTATCAGCCCGCGCCGCCGTCTTTTTAGGTGGAATCTGCTGCTGCCGCTGCCCGCCCGACTGCTGGGGTGGGGTACATGAATCTCAGGCCGACCTGGCCCGACCCCGGCGAGGCGAGGAGGGGGCGGCCGTAGAGCTCGGGCGCACTTCGCTTCAGCTTCGAGCTCTGCTGTTTCGGGAGCGCAGGCAAAGGCGCTTGGGGTTTGCTGCGTTGTTTTAAGTTGTAACACTTCGACGTTTTCTCAATTGACACTTTCTCCCGTGGAAAAAATTAATAATATATGTGCGTGTGTGTGTGTATACCTTCAGAGACTATGTGTAGTCTTCCCATACAGTGAGGGTGTGTTGGTATCCTTCTATAGCAGTTCCACTACAAGCAAAAAAATACATTGCTGCTATTTTTAACCGAATCCATCACAAACGAAAACCAGTTGACACCGACCCGTCCAACACAAGTGTTGCCGGAGGTGAAACAAAGTTTGGAAGTACTGTACATTTCGTACAGATCCCTCTAAATCGAAAAACAAACTGGTGCAAATTAAGCCTTTTCACGTATAAAGCCTTTAATCACATATAAACGAAATTACAAGTGACCCTCTAAAGCAGCGCTTCCGGCCCTCCCGTAATTCATGCGAGCGATTTGGCTAAGTGTGCCAGCTCCAAACGTGAACCGCAGCCATCACGTCTAATCTAATCAGTCCGCCTGTGAGGGGACCCAGCGGTGTCATCAGCTCCAAAGGGCCCTTGGTGGAAGTGGCTGGGAGAGGCCAGCGGCAGCTGGAGCCATGAATGACACTTTCTCATTTGTTCCTTTCCCAGTTCAACAAATGTTTAGCCCCGTTGCCACTAAATGAACGTCTCGCGCTCTTTGGCTGGGGGAAGCTATTTATTTTTAAGATTCCTGAATAGGATCAGGAGCAATTAACTTATTTTTTGTTTCCGTTTTTCTGTCAGTGTATTGGGAAGTAACTTGGGGCAAAGCAAAGAGCTGGTGGCTGTGTGGGCCGGGCTCGCCATGGCGACGGGGAGACGGTGTCTGCCGTACCTCTCTCGCTTCTGGTGGGGCCCGTTTCGATTCGCCGCTGCTGAGAGGGAGGGAGAAGCCAAGTGAAAAATGTGAAAATAAGAACAAAAGCAGGAGCCGTGCTCCGTCTCGGCCGCTCCTGGAAGATCCCGGAGAGGGCTCCCCGTCACCCCGGCTGCTCGCCCGGTGCCCCTACCCGGGCACGGACACAAGGGAGAACTGAGCATCACTCGGGACGGGGCAGGGGGAGGGGCGACACGACAGTACTACTCCTAAGGCCGCAAAAGTAAACTTTATGTGTGTGTGTGATTGTTCCTTTTTGTTTGTTTAGCTGCCTCTTTTTTTTCCTTTTTTTCCTCCCCAGTCGCTCTTAAGACAAAACGCGCCCGTGCCGGTGGGAGGCCGGCCATGATGTTTCCGGGGGTCCCAAGGGCGTCGAGGGTTCCGTCCGTTTCGCACAGAACGAACCCGGCTCCCTCTCAGCTTCCCTACTGCCCTGCTGCTGCCATGCGGCTCCCGCCGTCTGTCCCGCGCTCTTTTGCTGACAGCCAAACGTCTGATTCAAAACACAGGTAGGTGCAAAACGAGCACTCTCTGTGCAGGAACCCGCCTCGCAGCCTTACAACCACTCCCCGAACCCCCGAGCTCATCGCCGTGTCCCTCGTGGAGCCGCACTTGCTGCCCACTCAGAAAGTTGACTCTGGTGCCCCGGCTGCCCTCTGCGGCGGGACTCTGGTGTGTTCCAAGAGGAGCTCTGGCCCCTCAAGCCCGGAAACACCACACTCGAGATCCCCTCGGGAGGAGTTGAGTGAGTGTCATGTCCACAGGGGACAGGAGGGAGGGAGGGAGGAGAGAGGAGGGAAGCCGCTCCGCTCCGCTGTGGGAACCCTCTCGATGAGCACCCGGTGCCCCGGGAGCCTCTCGGTCTAGCGGTCCCTTCCAAACTGCGCCGGCTCCTGCACAGGGGGCTTCCTGTCCTCCGCTCGGGTTTACAGCGCGGGGCCGCTCTAGGACCGCCGGTATCAGCGGCGGGACCCGCCGGGGCGGGCTTGGTCGGCTGGGGCGGGCAGCGCAGCAGGGGAGCTGCGGTGCCGGGACAGAGGTTTTTTGCTCGGCTGGAGGTGGGAGGCTCAGTGCCCCGAAGTCGCCCTTGTCGCCGCGGAGATTCCCACAGCCGCTGCCTTGGCTTACCCCTTGTCCAGGGTAAGCGATAGCCGAGGGGGCGAGCTCTTGGCCCCGGGAACCCCCTGCCCAGTGGCAGGAGAGCTGTGAGGGTCAGCGCCGCTTTCTTGCCCCGGCCCCGACCACCGCTCGCAGCGCGGGGCGCGCACTCGGCCATGGTTTCTTCTAGTTCAGCTTCTACAGACCCTTTTATACCATTAAGGCGCGGGGTGAGGGGTGGGGGGGAATTAAACGAGACCCCTCCTGCCCCCTTGCTGAAGGCTTTCTGCACTCCATGCCCGCTTAGGAGGCGGCGGCGGGGGCAGTGTCCCCGTGGAGGCTCCCGCAGCCCCAGGACAGCGTGGCGGGTGCGCCGCTGGCTGCCTCGCACGGAGGCGATGTGGCCGCTCGGTACGGGCACACACCTCCGGAGCGTGCTGAGGTTTAAACACCCCAGTTAAGATGTAAAGGTGGCCCCTGCGCCCGCCCTCGCGGGGCTTTGCCGCGGCTGCTGACAGCGGCGGTGTCCAGCGGTGGAATGGTCACGCAGGTACCTACCGGACTTCTCAAGCTTAGTATTGGTTCACGGTTTCACAAACCTAGTTACTAAGAAAATACTTGAATTTTAGAAGAAATGAAAGGACCTTTGAAGCACTGTCATTTCTGCACCTGCACCATTGATGTCTGCTGTGCTGTCTCTCTATCAGTAACTTATACATACTCTGTGTCTGAGTTAATTTCTCTGAAATCCCAAACATCTTGTAACTTCTTTATCATGGTTACATCATCTTTGGCCTTTTTTTTTCTTTTTTTTTTTTTTGTTTGGTTTGGTTTGGTTTTTTTTACGACTTACTTACTCAAATCATCTTTGTTTTGGTTTGGTGTTTGTTTTTTTTACTATTTCCTTGCTCATTTCCATCTTACTGACAAACGTGTCTTGTGAGTACTGCACGCAGACAAAATCGTATAGCAAAGTACTCGACATATGGGGTTTACATGCGTAATGCTTCATGAAATTTGATTTACTCAGACATACTTCAAGCCACAGAACTTCATGGTCTTATTGTTTGGGTGTTTTTTTTCTTTCTTTTTTTTTTTTTTTAAATTATGTCGGAGTGTAAACAGAGTTGACTGCTTCCTAAGATATAGGTCGCTGGGGAGATTCCCCAGGCTGTCTGGACAGGGTCCCACCAGCCAGGGCCAGTCCCACCACACCCAGCCAGTGAGTAGGGCAAGGGGAGAGGTGGTGGAAATCCAGATCACTGACATGTTTGTGATGGTCACAGAGGTCTGAAGTCAACCCTTGAGACAGGATCTGGATAAACTGGGCACATAAACAAGCACATGCGGGGCTGCAGCTGAGTGAGAAACCATTGCTCCTCTTCCATTGCTGATGCAGAGACTTGCAGCCCTGGATGAAGCTGAGGCAGAGTCCCTGGACAAAGGCTGTTGGTGGGGTCCTCAGGTGACACCTGTTAAAGACCACGATGGCCTACGAGTACTATTGAGGCCTTAACAGCTGAAATTACTATAACCTGTTCTGTAATTGTCCAAATTGATAGGAAAAGTTGTTTGCCTTACCAGGAAACTCTTCTTGGCACAAGGAGAGTGCCTCTTGGGACAGAGGAAAAGCCCAAAGGGAAGGTGAGTACAAATCACTGTTTCCCACAGGGCTTTTGGCTAGCAGGGCTGGGCAGAGGTGTTAATGCAAGGCTGGTCTCTGCTGAAGGAGAGACAGACCCATCACTTACCTCATGGTCTGTGCTGGTGACAGCCACTTATGTCCCTAGTGTTTCTAGTTCCCACTCCAGGCCCCTACACTGTTTGTGGCTTGCCAAGGACAGTGTCCAGTTTTCGTATCACTTCCTACTCTCCTGTTACCTCAGAAACTAAAAATCTCCTAATGCCTTCTAGTGAGAGCTCTACATGGATATGGCATGGCCCTGCACTAGGAGGCCTTGGCAAGCACTGCAGGGCCACTGCAGTGACACCTGCCTTCACCTATTTACAACTGTCTTCTCCACAGGCACCTCCACAGGGTCTCAGCAATGTAAAGATGGTTGGGAGAGCACAAGCAGGGAGACTTTTGCAGAGACGAAGCTCTGTGCCTGACTGACACTCTGGCCCTTCAAGTCCCACCTGGCCCTTCAAGCACTGTCAACTTCCATGCACTAGCACCACAAGGACAAGCAATAGGAAAGGGATATGTAATTCCTCTACAGCTGTCAAAACCTAAATGAGCAAACCCATCTGGTAATAGTGGAAAATACTGCTACTCCCTCCAGCCCAGCAGAGATGGTAATGTGAATGGGAAGTGAATGAAGGAGAATGCATTGTGTTCCCCCTGCCTGCCTCTCTGGTTACTCTGCCCTACAGCAGTTAACTCCTGCCCTG